GGAAACAGCGGAGGGATACTAATACCCAGCTGTGTTCCTGAGGTGGGATCTCTGCACCCGCCACAGTGCATTTACCCCCAATCTCCAAAGTGATTGATGCCCTGGTTGGATAAAAATAGATGGTGGTGTTCATGTAATGCCAGACACACCATCTCCTTGTGAAACCCTAGGACTGGTAAATAAATAGGACTGTGTAGTCATTTGTCTTGCTTTGCTTGCATTCGTCTTATTTACTATCACTGTCTATCAATACAATTTGCCTGTTATCAAATGGAAGGGCTCGCGGTCAGTCATTGAGAAAGGTTGTGCTTGCCCGGAACAAGGCATCAGCTCTGGCTCCTAAATCCAGTGCCGACAGACCCAGACAAGTGCAGCCCCAGATGATACTGGCAGCTCACACCTTGCCCTGCAGCTCAGCAGAGTAGCGTTAACATAGCCTCCAGGACACCTTGTGCCTTGGTCCTAGTAGCACAGGTGTCACCGCAGACCCGTACTCAACTGGTTCCCACTGTACAAGCACCTGGGTTCCAGGAAGGCAGTAAAGGGAGCTCCTACTTCCAGCCAGTCACTAACACTGCTGTGTTGTGGGCAGGTGTGCATAGCTGTGGGTGCATGTGCCTTCTTTGGTGCTATTTCAGGTGATGTGGCTCATCTGGAGACATTTTTATGTGTAAATAGGGAATAACCCCTAGGGGTAGAGAAAAGAGGGATCATGGTACATTGGCTATGGTACATTCATGGGCAGATCTAGGATTCTGAAAAGGGGTTGCAGATAGTGAGGTACATAACCACATCTAACACAACACAGATTTTTCTCCAGCTAAAAAGAAATGAGAAGTTTTACTAATATGTCCAGGCCAGGGCTGGGTTATTCAGGTTGTGACTGGAGCAAAAGCATATACAACTTCCTTGGAATGAGTTAAAAACAGTCTGTAGGGCTGTAAAATAGTAGCTACCAGGAGCAGAGAGCAGAAAGCAACATGGCAGGACAAAGGCTAGCTAGATTGCTGGGACATCAGTACCATTGGAGAGAGGTTTGTTAGCACTGGTGGAGTGAAGAGAGATTAGCAGGAATCAGGGAGATGACAAGGAGCTATGAAGTAAAGTGGCCTGGGGCAAGGTGCTGTCACCCAGCTGAGCATGAGAGACATGAGCGTTGTCCCAGTGGAAAAGTTGGAAACACCCCATGTTTCTCTCTGGAAAAGACAAGAGGAGACCTGGGGAATTATACACCTGTCGCCCTCACCTTGTACCCCAGGAAGTGACTGAGGCAGGCACTAGGGAAGGCCTGTTGCAAGCATGTGGAGGAGGAAAAGCTGTCCCATGCAGCCAGTGTCAGTTTACTATGCACAGATTATGCCCACCAAGTGTGGTCTTCTGCTATGACAGAGTAACTTCAAGGATGAAAAAAGGGCCTGCTGTGGGTGTCATGTGTTTGCACTTCAGCAAGGCTTTGGACAAGGTCCTGCAAGACCTCCTCATAAAACCAACGGGAGATGCATGGGCTGCTCAAAGCTCTTATATGGTGGGCAGACAACTGGCTCTATCGCTGCCAGCAAAGGGGTCAGTAATACTGAATGGGTCCATGTCAGGATGGCAGGAGGCTTCGAGCAGAGCCCCACAGGGGTCTGTCTTGGGCCTGGGGCTGCTCATCATGTCCATTGATGGCCTGGAGACCAGCACAGAAAGCTTCTGGAGAAAGTTACAGACAAGAAGATGCTGGGAAGAGCTGTGAACATGCCAGAGGGCACAAGTGCAGTGCAGACGGATCTCGGCAAACTGAGAAGCCGGGCTGGACCGACAGGATGTAGGTCAGTGTGAACAAGTGCATGGCGCTGTCCTCGGGAGGAAGGATCATGGACACAGGCACTGAGTGGGCAAGATACGGCTGGGGGCAGCGCTACGGAGAAGGACCTGGGTGTCCAGCGAGGTGCCAAACCCAAGAGGAGTCTGCAGCGTGCTGTAGCTGCATGAAGAATCCCACGTGGGTCTGGGCTGTGGGACAGGCAGGATGAAGATGCTGGAGGTGGAGGTGGCTGGGCAAGGGTGGCCAGGCTGGGGCAGGGCCAGGAGAGCAGGCAATGCTGCATGCAGGGAGCAGGGAGGGAAACGCGTCAGGTGCAGCCATGCTGGAGTGGAGGGAGCTGGAAGGCAAGGGGCAGGGTGAGCTGGGGCTGCTGAGAGGCAGAGTGCAGCCCCTCTCCCCCGGCCACACTCCTGCATTGGGGCACAGGGCTCCCGCTGCCAGGGGAGGAGAAGGACATCTGAGTCCCCTGGGCACCAGGGTGTAGTGAGGGTGCCCAGTGTGGCCACGCATTCCCGTACTCATGAAGCCTCCCGTCTTCATACTCCAGGGTCGGTCTGCAGCTCTGTGGGGGTGACCGGCCAGCTTCTCAAAGATCCAGTGGAGTTCATTGTTATGGAGTTCGTGCCCCTTTAATCGCTCTAAAAGGACCATGCAGCCAGGCCCCAGACCCCATTCTGGCCAGTCTGACCCCTGCAGCGCCCAGCCTGGGCAACAGCCCCCTCCCCAGCCCATGTGGCCGGCAGGCTGCTGGAGGGCAGCCCCTTGCTCCCAGCCAGGCTGGGGCTGCCAGAGCCAAGCCCAGTCCATACAGGCAGCTCTGGGCACCAGCACAGCTGGGATTCAAACTTCCCACATCCTCCCCTGCCCACACTGCACAGATCCTGTCCTCCCACCAAGCACAACCCTGCCCTGATCCCCCTCCCCGCATGAAATGCACAACAGGAGGTGAATGGGTTTCCTAGGCTGAGAAACTGGAGTGTGCATGGAGGTGGCTGTGTGTGCCTTGTTTGGTGCTATTTCAAGTGACAGGGCTCCTCTGGGGACCTTTTGCATATGTGAATAGGGAATAATTCCTGGAGGACACAGTATGTTGGCTCTGGCACATAAGCACATTCATAGGTGGATCGAGGATTGAAAAGGTGGGGGGTGCAGTGCATCACCACATCTAACACAACACAGATTTTTCTGTAGCTAAAAGGAAACAAGAAGCTTTACCAAAATATCAAGGCCAGGGCTGCATTATTCAGAGTAAGACCGTGGCCAAAACAAATAGAACGTCCTGGGAATGAGTCAAAAACAGCCTTCAGGGCTGTGAAATAGGAGCCACAGGACTAGGAGCAGCCAGCAGATAGCAGCACGGCAGGACAAAGGACAGCTAGACTGATTGGACATCCAGACCATTGGAAAGGAGAGAGGTTTGTTAGCACCGACAGAGCGGAGAGAGATTAGCAGGAATTATGGAGATAACAAGAAGCCATGAAGTCAAGTGGACTGGTGCATGGTGCTGGCATCCATCTGAGCATGAGGAACATGCATGTCATCGCAGTGAGGAAGTGTGTTACATGACACAGAGCTGGTATTTTATCTGGTCCCTGTTGTCTTCAGAACTGAGCTGAGGCTGCCGCTGAGATGGCTCCAGCCCACAGGAAAGGCCCTTTGAACCCAAACGTTCCTTTGTGCTCTCTCCCCATCACAGACTTGGTCCACAATGAGAGATCAACCCCACCAAGCCCCTTCCTAGGCAGTGTCTGATGGGTCTGCATGAGCTCGGGTCAGCAGGGCCTCAGGACCTGCACCAAAGGGCTGGGCAGGGGGGACCCTGGGGCCTTGGCAATGACAATGATGGAGTCGTGGCACATGGGTGGGGCCCAGAGGACAGGAGAAAGGCAAGGTAAGTTTCCTCTCTGGAAAAGACAAGAGGGCACATAGGGAATTATAGACCTGCTGCCATCACCTCAGTTCCCAGAAAGTTACCGGGGGAGATGCTAATTGAAAGCCATTTGCAAGCATGTGGAGGAGGAAAGGCTGGTCCAGAGCAGCCAGTGTGGGTTTACTATCGACAAACCATGTCCAACAAGATTGAACTTCTGCTACTACAAAGTAACAGCCAGATCCGTCTGTGCTGCGCTGCTGTGGGCATAGTGCGTCTGCACGTCAGCAAGGGTTTGGACAAGGTCCCACACGACCTCCTCATAAAACAGCTGGAAATGTGTGGGCTGCACAAAGCTACTACGTAGTAGACAGACAGCTGGGTCCATCCGGGCAGCAACGGGGTCAGTAATTCAGACTGGGTCCATGTCAGGACAGCCGGTGGCTTCAAGTGGAGCCCTGCAGGGGTCTGTCCTGGGCTTGGGGCTGCTCAACGTGTCCATTCATGGTCTGGGCGCTGGCACAGAAAACTTCTACGGAAGTTACGGATGACATGACCCTGAGAAGGACCATGAACACGCTGGAGGGTGCGAGCGCAGAGCAGCACAGATGGATCTCGACTAACTGAGAAGCCAGGCTGGAGGCGACAGGATGCAAGTCAGTGAGGACAAGTGCACAGCGCTGTCCTCAGGTGGAAGGATAATGGACACAGGCACAGAGTGGGTGAGACATGACTGGGGCAGTGATACGGAGAAGGACCTGGGCGTCTCAGGAGGTGCCAGACCCAAGAGGAGTCTGCAGCGTGCTGCAGCTGCATGAAGAAGCCCGCGCAGGTCTGGGCTGTGGGATGGGCAGGATGAAGGTGCTGCAGGAGGGAGGTGGCTGGGCAAGGACATCCAGGCTGGGGCAGGGCCAGGAGAGCAGGCAATGCTGCGTGCAGGGAGCAGGGAGGGAAGCGCGTCCAGTGTGGCCGTGCTGGAGCAGCAGGAGCTGGAAGGCAAGGGGCAGGGTGAGCTGGGGCTGCTGAGAGGCGGAGCACAGCCCCTCTCCCCCCGCCAGGCTCATGCATAGGGGCACAGGGCTCCTGCTGCCAGGGGAGGAGAAGGGAACATGAGGGTGACAGGTTGCAGCGAGGGCATCCAGCATAGCCACACAATCTTGTACTTACGGAGCCTCCTGTCTTCATACCCCAGGGTTGCTCTCTGTGGCTCCCCATGGACGGCTAGCCTTCTTCTCACAGATCCAGGGGAATTTATTCTCCCTCCATTCTGGTACCTTTATGCTGCCCCCTTTAAATACTCCATAAGCAGCATAAGGTACTAGTTTCCAAACACTGTAAAGACAGAGGCCATGTGAGGGCCCCCAAACCATCCCAGCCCCCACAAGGCCCCACCGCTCTGGCTGCAGCCAGTCCCCAGGCCCCATTCTGGCCAGTCTGACCCCTGCAGTCCTCTACCTGGGCCACAGCCCCTGCCCCAGCCCACGCAGCAGACAGGCAGCCCCTCGCTCCTAGCCAGGCTGCAGCGGGACTGCCAGAGCCAGTCATACAGGCAGCTCCTGGCACAGGCACAGCCTGGGATCAAAACTCCCCACATCCGCCCTTGCCAGCGCTGCACAGATCCTGTCCTCCCACCGTGCACAACCCCCACCACCACACGACAGGCGTGACAGGAGATGAACGGGGCTCCCAGGACGACGAACCAGAGTGCAACTCACTCTGAGTATTCAGTCCCATCAATCCAAGTCCACTGGTGCTTTTCCCAGTCTCTCATGAGCCCAATCCAGTATGAGGCATCCGTGGCAGTGAGGAAGCTCTGGGGGAGGGAGCGACTGCTCAGAAACAGCCCCAGGCCTGGCCTAGAGCCAGAGGACAGGAGGGAGCTGAGGCCAGGGGACCTCCCCATGGATGGGCAGCAGGAGGGGGATAGGGGAGGCAGGGTCACCTGTGCCACCAGCCCACCCAGCTCCTGCACCTGCCTCCTGGCACCTGCAGATATAAAGGGCAACCGCATCTGCTTCGTCTGCTTCCTGGCCCCAGTCCCTGGCAGGACCCTAGAGCAACCAACACCAGGGAAATGCCCGCCCTGCCCTGCCCTGCCGGGCCATCTCACTCCCAGACTGGATTTCCAATCCCCACCTCCTGCTGCTGCCCCATACCGGCATCTTCATCTGGTCCCAGTTATGGAGGATGAGGAGCTGGGAGTCTTTCTTTTCACATGCCTTTCTGCTGTCCTGCCAGGTCTTCTTCTCCTTGGAGAGGAACAGGCACTTCCCACGGTGCAGCACCCAGGTCTCCGGGCAGCAGTCTGGGCACAGACAGCCGCTTGCACCCGCACCGCTGTCAGGGCCGGTGCCAGGGCCATGGGTTGCTGCTGGGGGAGCTACCCAGCCCCAGGGACATGGCTCTCCCAGGAGCCATTGGCTCTGGCCACAGCCCAGCACTAGGGCAGCTGCAGTGGGAGCCAGACAGTGCCCAGGCTGCGGGATAGCAGGGGAGGAGGGGTGCAAGATCTGGGGGAGCCGGGCCAGGACACTGGTGATGTCCCCACCATCTCCCCATGGGGCCTGGGCCCAGCACTGCCTGCAGGGAAGGGCTGTCCTGATGAACTGCCAGCCCTGGGGGTACCCCACTCCCTGCCCTGCCCTGCCCTGCCCCACCCTGGGGTACCTGTGACCTGGCAGGGCCGTGCACTGGCCAGGGCGCTCTCAGTCTTGTTCAGCTGCTGCCGCAGGTCCCAGGCCTGTTTCTGCATCTGGTCCAGTTGCACCCTGGTTTCCTGCAGCTCTGTGTCCCTGTGGTGCAGCTCCTTACGGCTGCGGTTCCCCTCCTGCCAGGCCTGTGCCAGCTCCGCTCGGGTCCGTGCCATCTCCTCCTGGGCCTGCACCAGCGCCGCACCTGCCTGCTCCAGCCGCTGCTCCTGCGTGCCCACCTGCTGCCACAGGCCATTGCGCTCGGCCGTGTGGGCATGGGATGCCTGCTGCAGCTGCTGCCTCTCCTGCCAGTCTGTGGGCACGCGGCTGTCAGTATGTGGGGCAGGACCGGGCACCTCCAGCTGGGCACTGTGGCTGCAGCAGGGCAGGACCCCCCTGTGCTCACACCTCCCCGCAAACCACCCCCCCAGCCATAGGAACAGTGGAGCCAGTGGAGGCCTCCCAAGGCAGAACCAGGGCACGGACACAGCCTGGCAGGATCTGTGCATGTGTCTGCAGGCAGCCAGGCACCAGGGCACCAGCCAGGGCCCCGCTGCACTACCTCCTCCCACGAGGGCTGGCCCTAGTGCTGGGTCTCCCCAGACGACCCCACGGTGCAGGTTACCCCAGTCAGTATGGCTTCTCCCCGGCTCAGGAACCCACCACCTCCCCCCAAGTGCCCTGCCCATGCAGAGGCTCACACCCCTGCCCCCAGGCCAAGCATCCCACTCCTTCCAGCACAGCAATCCCCTACTCACAGCAGACCCCCAGGGCGATGGTGGTGACCAGCAGAGCCAGGCAGGCTGCCAGCAGGCCTAGGAGCAGGGGCCGTGTGCTCCACCGGGGCTCTGCAAGAGATGAGGCACCATGGGACTGGCCCCAACACCTGCAGCCAATGCAGCACTGCCAGCATCCTGCCTCTGCCAGGGCAGGAAGGACATTGTGACCATGCACTGGGGAGACCCTGGCCACAGGCCACGGCCCTGCTGCAGAGGAAGGCAAAACCCCCCAGTCCATACCAGTCTGACCAGGGGAGAAATTATTTTCTGCTCCCAATATGGCATCAGTCTGACCCTAAGCAAAGGGGCAAGACCCTCTAGTGAGGACCCTGCAGGGTTGGTCCCAGCAGAAGCATTGTCATAGTCCCATCCCCATCTCAAGCCTGGGCTGCAGCCAACACCCAGCTGCTAATGAAGGGACCCCCGCCCCAGCATCTGTAGAAGAGGAGGGGGGAAATTCCTTCCCAGCCCCATGTGGTCACCAGCCCAGCCCCCCGCCTGGGACAGCCACACACCCCCACTCTGCCCTGCAGCCTGGGCACAGCAAGCACAACCCACAGCCCTCTGCCCATACAGCCAGAGCTGCATATCTGTGCTCCCCCCATGAACTTCTCCCAGTGCCGTGGATCTTCTTGCACACCTGAGCCAGCTGCGAGCTCTGCTTTAGGCTCCTGCTGCCTTGCACTCACCTCTCCACTGCTGGGCCCCGTGCCTGGCTGGCCCCTTGCCCACTGCATCCAGATGCAGGTTCTCGTAGCTCCCATCAGCCTCGCCTGGGGCCGGGGGGGCTGCAGACACAGGTGCTGGTCAGGGTGTGGGTCTGGCCAGGACCAGGTCTGGGCAGGAAGGGTGCTGGCTCCTACCTGTCCCCTGCGCCCAGGGGTTCACACTCCTTCCCGGGGGGGCCTTGGAGAACCGCAGATCAGCATAGGTCACGCTCTCGCCCATCCCGGCCATGGGGCACAGAGCAGGTGCTGAGCTGCTGGGGCGGCGTGGTGTGGTGTGCGCTGTGATGTGTCCTAGCAGGAGGGAAGTGTGTGTGTCAGCCAGAAGCAGAAGTGGTCTCAACCGCAGGTGGGGGTGGCCAAGCATTGACACAGCCCTGCCACTAGCTCTGGTTGCCAGCCCTCCCCACCATGCAGACAAGGCTGGGGTAGTGGGGCAGGGACTGTGGGGGGTCCAGTCGACCAGGGATTAATGGCACAGCCTGGTGCTGGAGCCAGGCTCATCTTGCACTGGGTCCAGCCCCAGCCCCCTTCACCATCTTTGGGCACCAGGGGCCTCTTGGGTGCCCACACCAGCATCTAGTTGACTCCCTGTAACAGGGAACACTAGCCCTGTCACCAGAAAGCAGGTCCACCCCTTTAAGGCCAGAACTTTCTGGGCACGGAGTGCAGGTAAGGAAGGGGTTAAATGCTGAGCCTGGCCACCTAGTCTGCTGACCAGAAGGGGCAGAACTATAAAAACCCTGGGCAGAGCAGCAGTAAGGGAGACAGCAGTGGAAGGGGAAAGAGTGCCTCTGAGAGCTCCACAGAGAAGCTGGGTGAGCGGTCCAAAGGCAGGAACTACAGAAGCTGTGGAGAGATGGCAGCCGCACCACAGCAAGGACTGTAGCCAATGGTAGGGAGCTGAAGCACAAACCCTGCACATGTAAGCTGACCTGCTGCTTTGCTTGATCATATGGGCTGGTGGCAGTTATTATTTTTTTCTTTTTTGATTATTGAATAAGACCGGTGGTTTGAGTGAAGCTATTAGGGGATGGAGGAGGCCTCATAGGGGACCCATGGCAGTGTGGGGACCTCGGCGCCAGAGAGGGCACAGCATCTGGGGGTGCACCGACCCCCGGCACCAGAGAGGGTGCAGCATTTGGGGGTTCACTGACCTCGGCACAGGAGAAGGCGCAGCATTTTGCAGGGCTGTGGAAAGCCCAGGCGCCAGTGAGGCGCCGAGTGAAACAGGACTTTGGGGTGACACTGGCGCCTGAAGGCGCGATCTTGAAAGGCCGGGGATGCCTGGTGCACCTGGGGTGCGATTTTTTTTTGTTTGTTTGTTTTGGGTTTTTTGGACTGGGAGGGGGTGAGTTCATGGCTGTCCCCTGGCCTTGAGCTTGCGGCCCACCCTGGCTGTTGGGCCAGTGGCCTTGCCTTGGGGCCAGGGGTAGCCAGGCTTCATATTGGAGCTCCAAACACCGGAAAAGGCTAGAGCCTTGGAGTCAAACCCTGTTTGGTGGGTTTTAGACAGGGAGGCCTAGCTAGAGAAAGACAGGGGTCAGGCCTGTATAGGTGAAAGGCCCCAACATACAAAATACAGTAGGCAGTCTCCCACTTGCAAGAACATCAACAATAACTTCCATCAAGACATGGCAGGCGAGTAGAGGGCGGGACATAAGAACTCCAAAGAAGACTCCAAGGGTGCCCCACGTAAGGCATGGATTAACAGGGAAGATGGCACTGGGGGGGCCGCCTGTTACACTCCCCCATCCAAAAAAGGGACTGGACTCATGCTTGGAGGAAAGAAGCATTGGTCGCTAGCGAGCAGGGAGTGAGGGCATGGCCTCTGCATCAGACCTGCCTGGACCTTCAGTCCTGGAGGCTGCAGGAGAGAGAGGAACGGGGATCGACCCTGGTCAGACCCAGTCACTCCCCTTCACCCTCCGCTCTCTGCTGTCGTGTGACACTGGAGACAGGGTAGGACTGACCTGGGATCTGAGCTGGCCCAGGGCAGCTATTCTGTTCTTGTGGGGCAAATGGCACAGCACCATCGACAGAGACTGCACCATGTGCAATGGGCAATGCACAGACATCATGTTCCTGCACCACACCTTCACAATACCAAGTCAGGGGCCTTGCTTAGGACCTTCCCACCATCTTGGAGCCTCCTCACAGCATTCCCAGTACCAGCTCTGGGCAAGGGGACCCCATGGCCCCTGGGTGCTGAGCCCCAGCCCTCAGGGCATGGCCCCCTGCGCTATGTCTAGGGTCACCAGGAACCACAGGTCCCTGCAGCCACTTTGGCTCTGATGGGGCTTTGCCTTTCCTGGCTATGGAGCCCTCAGAGATGGGGGCACTGTGTCACCCTCACCCAGGCCACAGGGCACAGATGTAGTGGGAAACACCCCATGTGCCACACAGCTTGCACTTGATCTGGTTTCTGTTGTTTCAGGACTGAGCTGAGGCTGCAGCTGCTGTGGCTCTAGCCCATAGGAAGGTCCCTTTGGGCCCAAAAGCTTGTCTGGCCTCTCTCCCAACTACAGACTTGGTCCACAATGAGAGATCACCCCACCAAGCCCCTTCCTAGACAGCGTCTGATGGGTCTGTGTGAACTCAGGTCAGCAGGGCCTTAGGTACTGCACCAGAGGGCACTGAAGGGCTGGGCAGAGGGGACCTCAGGGCTCTTGGCAGTGGCAGTGACCCAGTCATGGGACACAGGTAGGGTCCAGAAATGGGAGAAGAGCAATGTGGGGTCTCTCTCTGGAAAAGACAAGGGGGGACCTCAGGAATTAGAGACCCATCACCCTCACCTCAATCCCCAAGAAGTTACTGGAGCAGATGCTAAGGAAGGCCATTTGCAAGCATGCAGAGGACAAAAGACTAGCCCCGAGCAGCAGCGTCCAACAAGCTTGATCTCCTGCTATGAGAGAGTAACTGTGCAGGGGGACGGAGGCCCTGCTTTGGATGTTACATGTCTGCACTTCAGCACAGCTTTGGACACAGTCCCTGTGACGGGGCTAAGCCAGCGTTTCTCATTTTTTTCAGTCTGATGGCACACTGGCCAAATGCTGAGCGGGGAGGGGAGGGGAGTGGGGTGGTGGCGAGTGGCTGGACACAGAGAGGGGGTATCAGCGCAGGGCCAGGCAGGGCACAGCAGTGGTGGCATGGGCTATAGACATGCTCTGCCAGGAGCCATGCCCCCAAGATTCCCAGGCACACTTGAACATGTGCAACAGCACACAGGGTGCCACAGCACACCGGTTGAGAAACACTGTGCTCAGCACACACCAGTCACTTTAAGAGGGAAGATGCTGCATGCAGACCAGACTGCAGGTATGGAGTGCGTGCTAATTAGACAGTTGGTCACGTGACCAGGAGGGCCAATATAAGCCTGAGCCAGAGCTGGTCCTGCACAACGTTCCCTCTAAGGAGCTTCGGTCCATGAGTGCACCACCTCGGTCTGTGAGCGTGCCACCTCGGTCCAGCATGGGACACTTACCGAAGGGGACTGGAGGCCAGAGGCTAGGGCCAGGGGCCGGAGACTGGAACTGGGGGCTGGGGCCAGATGCTGGGGGCCAGAGGCCAGAGGCCAGGGCTGAAACCAGGGGCCAGTCACTAGAGGCTGGGGCCAGGGGCCAGAGGCTGGAGCCGGGGGCCAGGTGGCTCTTGGCTGGAGGCTGGGGCTGGGGGACCAGGGCTGGGGCCAGGGGCCAGGGACCAGGGCTGGGGGCCAGGGGCTGGGAGCTGGGGGCCGGTGGCTGTTGACTGGGGCTGGTGGCTGGAGGCTGGGGCTGGGGTCTAGTGTGGGCTCCGCCAGCTCCGGGGAAGTGCTCTGCATCAGGGCCGGGGAGTGGAGCACTTCGCCGGAGCCAGCGAAGCCCACCCCAGTCTCCATTCCTGCCTTGCCTCACCTCAGGGAGGAACCAGGCTGCAACATGCCTAATAGTCCAATGGGTACTCGACCCAGTATAGGCACTTGGGGCACTTCCCCAAGTTGGGGGCCACTACATAGGTCACGTCATCCAGCTTGTCCAGGATAACATGAGGACCTTCCCAAGCGGCTTGCAGCTTGTCTGTCTTTAGTGGCAGGAAAACCATAACCGTATCACCTCGTTCAAAAGTACGTATGCGGGCCTTTTCATTATACCAGGACCTTTGCTTCTCCTGGGCCTGTCCCAGGGACTCTCGTGCCACTTTCATCATGTCAGTCAGTTTCTGACAAAAGTTCAGTACATACTCCACCACGGAGGTCTTGGTGGAAGGGATTTTTGCTTCCCACTCCTCTCTCACCAGATCAAGAGGACCTCGAACTCACCTCCCAAACATCAACTCAAATGACAGCAGTAATTAAATTGGTCAAGCGCCATGAGATGGAGCAACTTCTCTCTATTGTCAGCCTTGGCTCCATCTGCCCATTTAAGGAGTGCATCCCACACAAAGGCCACAAAATCGGCCATTGTCTTCTCGGGTTGTGGGCGGATATTCCGGAATTTTTTCCGGAAATAATCCAGTCCTAA